TGATTCCAAACAAAAATAAAACACAAACCCAGAGTGCAATGGCGAAACAAACTTCTTCAAATGAGGTAACTTGCATTTCTAGAGCAGAAACACAGAAAGTGAATACTGCTGAAAAAAGCAAAACTGAGAAAACCATTTCGACTGAACAGCAAAGCTCAGATTTAGATAAAACAAAACTGTTAGAAGATGCCAATGTAGACACAACAAAACACACTACTAAAGTAACCTCTCCAAAGCAAGCAAGAGAAAAACCTGGTGATGCATTTGGCGGCAAAACAATGAAAGTGGATTTAAAGAAAGCTAGAGAGAAACTACAGAACAACAAAACTGAAGACAAAACTTTAAAAATGGAAACAGACAAGGAGAAAACACAAAGAGCAGAACAGAATTTAATGGTCATAGACAAGTCATCTTTACTATCTGATGGAACCAAAAAACAGCAAACGTCACCAAAGTCTTTGCCCAAACATGATAGATTTGAACAAATAGAAGAGCCTACAAAGATTACAAGCAGTTCTTATAGTCCAAAATCAAGAACAAAAATCTCCAAGAATGATTCATCAGATGAGACAGAACAAATAAATTTTAAAGACACAATTGACAATATTAAGACTAACCTTAAAAGCAGACCAAAGCAGAATGATAGCAAAGAAAGGTTAATGCCAGTTAAAAAAGAAATTAGTAATAAGTCCACTAAGACTGAAAATAAAACTGAGGAGGTAGAAATGTACAAAATTGATTCCAGTCAACAAAAGGATGATAAACGCATTTTGTCATCAACAAAGAATACAAGCGAAGAAAATACACAAGAAAAAACACTGTTGAAAGGAAAAGACACTAAAATTACCGTTGATGAATCGGATACCAGTAAAAAGGATGATAAGACTACCCAGATTCCACATTTTGATAAGGACAGGAGTAAGAGCCTTCCTGGAGATAGGGACAGCATAAACACAGCCGATCTCCAGACCAAGAAAGAGGAAAGTAGCAAAAAGAAGGATAAATCAAACAGTTCAGGCAAAAATTCCAAAGAGAACAAGGGTGATGATTCTTCTGACAGAAAAATGTTATCTTTAGAAATTACCGACAAAGAACCAGGACATAATGAGGAAAAACCAAATTGGAAGAAATTAATCAAGGTAGATAAAATGAAATCTAAGGAGGAGAAAAGTAATCCAACTTTAAAAGACATAATAAGCCAAACAAGAAACAAATTACAGAAGCCTCCAAAAGTGACCGATTTATTGCAGCCAGAGCCTGGTCAAGATGTCCAGGATGGTCAAGTAGAAATTGGGGAAGATAAAGTAATAGGTAAACAAACAAATACAGAGGCTCCATCACCATTAAATGCCCAGAACACTGAGATACTTAACAAATCCACTCAGTCAATTTTAGCAAACCATAAACAAGGCATTAATGATGATATTAAGGTTTTAAAACAGGATAATGAAAGCTCTAATGAAGACTCTGGTAAAATGAAAACATTAAAGCAAACTGAAAAAGATATTAGTTTTAATCTAAAAACAGAGGAATTAAAAACTAATGAAGTAAAACTGAAAATGGGAGAACACCAAAAAATAAAAATGTTGGAGAACAATTCATCCAGGAAACTAGCCAACAGAGCTCTTGAAGAAGAAAATTCAAGGTCACTTAAAAGTGCATCAGACAATATGACTAAAATATTGGATAAACAAACCTTAGAAGTGAGCACTAAGCAGCCAGAGGAGAAATCTAAAAATAGACATCACAAGAGTAAGACAACAGATGGTAAAACAATTGTATTGGACCCAGGTAACACAAAAAGTAACTCAACCACTGACGTAAAGCTTGGCTCACGAGCAGACGATAAGGTTCACATCACACACAACACAGAAGTAGGTGCTAAGGAATCAAAGCTTGTCAATCAAGAAAAAGAATCAAATGAAATGTGCCAAGGTACACTGGCTCTATACACACACAGGAAAAAGCAATCTCAGGCTAAAAATGAAGCAGAGGTCAAAGGGGTCACAGAACCACAGAGTAATTTAGATAGAAAGAATGAGACAAGTAGAGGGAAAACAAATCTGAAAACGACAAGCGTGGCAGAGAAACACACTGAAGGGAAGAAGTCGAGCAGGGCAGAGTTACACACTGGAGACAAATCTGGTTCATCATTTGATCAGCATTCTGTGAATAATGAAGGAATAAAAGATGAAAAGAACATCTGTGCTTATACTCAGCAGGAGAAATCATTTGTCAATAAGCAAAGTAATAAAACAATTGGAGTGACAAAAGGATTAGAAGAAACAGCTATAATAAAACCAGATGTCAGTGACGAGTCACCTAGGAATAAAGACAATAAGAGAGCAAGTACAAGCAAAGGATCTAATAAAAAGACTAAAGTGTTGAAGGAATTTGTAGTTATTAATGAAGTCAAACCTGTTAGTGATGGCGACATCTTACAGACAGGGGGAGCAGCAAATAAAATGAAGGATTTAAGTGAGAGAGGAGAAGAGGCAACAGTTATAAATCTTAAGCCTGTTAGTAAGAAAGTGACACTGCAGGAAAGTGACATTAAAAACGAAGGGGAAAGTGAACAGGTGAAGGATTTACTAAGAAGCAGAGAGAAATCAATTGATGTGGACAAAAAATCTGGCAAAGATGCATTAAGTGGGATAGAGAATGGAAGCAGTGCTCCACCTGAAGAGCCACAACCAAAGAAAAAAGAATTGGCTGAAACGGAAGATAAAAAGAGTTTAAGCAAAACAGACAATAAAAATGGTGTAAGCAAAAAGGACGAGTTGCAGACTAAAACTAAGAGCAGACATAAGTTTGAATTGCCTCTGTTAAAGTCTTCAAAGGTGAAAGCTGATTCAGTAGCACCTGAGAAAACAAGTAAACAAAACAGTATTACTATTGAAGAAAAACCAGGAAAAGGGTTCTTAAATACTGAGGGAAACAGTAACCTGAAGGAAACATTGGACCAAAAAGCTGAAATGTCTGTAAATCTTAAAAGCACCAAGGCTGATAAGCAGGTCTCTGATGGAGTGTCCAAATCTAAGAGTGCTCTTAAAGTTAAATTTGATACTGAAGTAAAATATTCTAGTGGAAATGAAGTTAATGAGAATTTGAATAGAAAACATTCCAAAGATAGTAAAGCAGGTACAAGTAAGAGTTCACAAGATGACAAAGATGTGAAGCATTCTGGTGGATCTCCAATACAAAACAGGAAGAAAGTAGCCCAAGACAATGGGCAGGGTGGGCCAAAACAAAATGGTAAAAAGCAAGAAGTATGTAGTGATCCGGGTGTCTTACTTAGTCCCAAGGGATCACCAAAGGAAAATCGAAAGAAACTAACCGCTGGAAGTGACCAAAATGGATCACCAAAGCAAAATAGAAAGAAACTGAACACTGCAAGTGATCCAGAAAATAATGGTCTACAGAAAAAGGTCCATTTTAAAGATGTAGACAAGGATTATCAGAGGAAAGTCTATGCACAGGAAGTGGCCAAGAAAATTCAGACATCCATCATTGCTGACATGAGAAGTAAACTTAGATCCAAAGCAGCAGCCATTGAAAAGCACCAGGAGAGGATAAAGGCAAAAGAGGCCAAGACTCAGGAAAAAAGTTCACAGCCTGTTATGTCTACTGCTCAGGCAGAGGTCAAAGAGACTTCACAATTAGCTTCCAAACCAGCTATCAAACTGTCCCCTGAAACACCCACAGAGTCCCCAGACAACAGGAAAACTCAAGGTGTGTCAACAAGCACTGCATCAGAAAAGTCCAAACAAGAACTTATAACAGCTGTCAAAACAATAGAGAAAACTGACATCGTCAAGGAAAATCAGACAAAGGATAAAGGTAAAGCAGAACAAAAAGAAGATTTGGTCACAGAAAATAAGGAAACCAAATCTGTGAAACAAAATGAAAAAGTAACAGAAAAATATAAGAATGACAGTAAAAAGAATGAAGAAAAGAGTGAAGGTAAACAGAATGTCAGTTCCTCACCAATACTAGTCACCAAAAATAGAGACATGTCAGAGGACATCAGTAGAGGAGAGCAGGCAAACCAAGGCGTCTTTGATGTCTCAAAGTTTATAACAAACACTAAAATTAAGGAGTTTAAGAAGGAATTGAAAACTGATGATCAACACCAAGAGAAAGAGAAGAAACTTAGTGGTAAAGATATCCAAATAACTAGAGGTGTTGAATCAAATCAGAGAAATGACATTCAGTTTATTTCCACAAGTTTCTCAGGACCAGAGTCACCAACCAGTGTAGGCAGCTCAAAGGATGACCAGAAATCCCCAGAATTTACTTACCAGAAGTTTGACTTTGATGAAAGCTCAGAGAGCAAATCTCACAGCTCTGACTCCACAGTGAGGGCTGATCAAGTCTCTGATGAGGAAGAGGTGGGGGAAGGTAGTAATGAGGACATCATGGCAGAGCTGAGGAAGCTTCTTCCTCTGGAGATCTTCAGCTCGAGGAGGAGACACAGAACTGAGGATGATGAAGATGTTCCCTGTGACTGCTGTGAGTGCCAGGGCTCCAGTGAGGATGAGTACAGCATGGATGGCAGGATGCCTCAGCTGTCTGTGATTGGGGAGGAGGATGAAGAGACAGTGTCTGTGTTTGATCCTGATAAAATGGACAGTGAGGAGATGCAGTTCCACAGGACATTCATGGAGAAAGTGTACAGCAGGAATCCTCGAGCCTCCAAGGTCTTTAACCCTGGGGTTATAGTGTCGAGTTCTGACTCTGAGGAGAGTGAAGAGGCAGAGGAGTCAGATGACTCAGCTTTTGATTCCATGAAGAGACCTGTATTTGACATTGAGGCATTCCTAAAATACACAGGAAATGTGGAGGACTGGCTAGAGAGGATAGAAGAATTTGGTAATGTCACAGGCATGCTGCCATTCATCTTCATCGTATAAAGTCATGGACTCGCTTTCTTCTCTGTTAACTGGAAAGGCATGCTGGTACCACCACAAATTCCAGTGTCCAGATACCCATTTATCTAATACCCCAAAGAGCCTTATTCCAGGATATATAAATTATCCTTCATAAAGAACTAATAATATACCATTTCAAATGTCCATCAGTATAAACTCCTCCATTTTTTATCTTTTTAAAATTTCCTTTTTTTTTTATTTTA